CAATTCCCAATTAAATATCACTTGGAAGAGAGTGAACTCACCAAATCCGAACATGAAAAGTAATTTAAGGCAGCTAAGTATGATACATAATGAAATGAATGCTATTAACTGACCAGTTTTTCTTGCCATAGATATTAACCTATAATCTACGTCTGGGCATCATCTGAACAACTGCATAACTGATTGCGTGAAAGTCGTATGTTGGACCATTAATAGACAAATCAGCTGCTCATGGTGGAGGATAAGTAAAAGTTCCAGAATACGGAAGCCATCGACATGAAGGCTACACGGGTTTGCAGAGGGACTGCCCTGTAAGTTGCATTACAATGCCATCTTAAATGGTGTTGTCAATCAAATCAAGGCTGTGGCAACTAAATCAAGTCAATCAAATCAAGGCTGTGCAAACTAAATCAAGTGAAACCATGCGAAACAAATCATCTTACGCTTGTTGTACTTTTTCTATGTTCTCTATTATATAGGCTTGCATCCTCTTCTATAAAACTATTTACACAAAGGACTAATGTAATTAATCCAATTCTATTAGTTGGAATACCTATAGTTAACAGGCATTGTATTCAAGTATAAATTCATTTTTATCCGTGTGCGTCCTTCAGCAGTACAAATTCTTGAATCATGCAAAATAATACTTTGGAATTATGATTGTCCCTAATTTCAAGAGAGGCGCACACACGCACACAACTATTCCTGTTTCAGTAATGAGTAGTACTATTTTTTTTTCATTCCCATTTCCCATTACCCAACCAACACACCAAGCACTCCCGTGAAGTCATTATCGAACTAGAATAAACAAAGCTAGCAATCAAAGTCCGTAAAAACAAATTCACTAAAGAATGAAGTTCGTTTCCTGAATAGTATTTATTTTCACTCAGAAGTAGGAAAATCAGAATGCCTGGCGTTCCACCTCCACCTAGAAACAAGTATTACCTTTGAACAAGACATTTAGAAAGAAATTGAAACTGAAATTACTTAAAGGCTTGCTCCACACATTTTTCTTATATTCTTCCCTTTCTCTAGTGGTTCTTTAGTTTTTAAGAGGTTTTAAGGTTTGTGGGTGAAGAAGGGGAGGAGTAACATACCAAAAATTCAATAAGCTTACGGGAATCCAGAACCGGAATCCTGCATGAGAATATATAATGATTGATAGAAGCTGATTCGTACGGAAAGCTCATACAAGCTAAAGTTGGACCGAATCTACCCAACAGTATGGATTATACCGTAAAATAGCGTAGGGAGGGCGTCTTTTTGGTACTTGTTGGGAAGCTCAGCAAGTTTCCCAAGCCATAGATTATTCCATGCGAAAATAACACCAATTACAGTTGGACCAAGTACGATTTGATTTAGTAAAACCTGCAACACGTGGGAGTTGGGAGAGATCATTCAAATATTCCAGGATCCATTGTCTTAACAAACACCAAACAATAGTGTACCTTTGTCATCAGGTTCGTAACATTTTTCTTTGGCATACAGTGATCAAGGTACTGATACCAAGCATGTGAACCAGGGCCGTACAGCAGGAACCCATATGATGTCATACGGAGGGCTCTAATCCAGTCATGTTCAGAAAAAAGTGAGCTTATGATATCCTACAAGTGGAGTTAAGTCAAATTAAACCAAACTGCTCGAAGCAGCAATTAATATTATAATTAATATGCAGGGTCCTAATTTAACAAAATATTTACAAGTCTCTTCTTGAAAAATCGGTAATATAGGGAGCATAGTGGAAAAAATATGTGGATATAAGGGAAAAAAAAGGAGTGAGATATTAGTATATATGACATGGCAATTAAGGCATCATGTTATGGGACAATCCCAAATTAAACATGACTCTGTACAACGGATGAACCACCTTTCAGAAACATCGGGGATGAGATTAATTTAAGTTATAATAGTAACTACATCTCTCGAAATCTGTACTTACAAATATTCGTGCTTTTATCTTTATTATATACTCAGAACATAAACCCAGCATATATTATTTTTCCAATTTACGATGGTATGAAGAGCCTCAATCATTTAGATTGGTTGCTCTTTCTGGTTGAAGTACTAAGGATGGAAACACAAGCAGTACCCATAAAACCTCTCCATAACCCATTTGGTCAGTGGGAGCACCTTCCGAAATCCGAAGTATGGTTAAAGAAGAGCATACTTTTTCAGGTAACTGAATTGGTGAAATAGATACTAGTAAACACTACAGATAGTAAAGCTGCTGATTATTGCAATTTTTAGCATTTAGTATTTGGATCATAAAAAGATTTTTAGAGACCAAGCACTTTAAAATTCCATATCTGCATTGCTCAATGTTGTTGTAGAGGATGTGGAATCTTGAAAATTTAGGCTTCAAATGTAGTACAGAATGGATCATAACTAGAGCCTACTGATTAGTTACAATGAAGGAAAACAAGAAGAATGCTCCCCTACCCACGGTGGGCACATGTTAATATGCCCACCGCTTATGTGGCATTCACACATTGGTGATGTATTTTTTTGAACATATTAACATCGTCAATGTGTGCATGCCACATAAGCGGTGGGCATATTAACATGTGTCCACCGTGGGTAGGGGAGCATTCCTGAGGAAAACAAATGATTCAAATATCCCGGCAGCACAACTCAAAAGATAAAGAAGTACAATTCCCATTGTATCAGCAACACTGATGCATAATTGTCTATCAGCTGCATGCATCTAATGAAATGATGTTTGCACAAAAGAAATTAGCTCTCAATATGGCCCTGAAGATATTAACTGCAGTTTACTTACTGTATTATAAAAAACACATCCAGTCTACCATGAGTAGGTCTTCATTCAGTTAGCTACAAACAACTAACAACTACAAATATGAATATAGTTCCGGTAGCATGTGTACATCACACTCATAAACAATTGCTTCAAGAATTAAGGCAAAAGTCATTGTCCAACGCTAAATACTTGTCTTAAATCGCAATCCCACACACACATGAAACACCCGCCACCCCCACACAAACACACAATGGCGATCCTTAAATTGTTTTTACCAACTACTGCAACTATGCAGGAACACGCCAATAAAGTATTCCAGCAAATTTTGTCACATTTACACTTCATACTAAACTTAGAATTATTCTTCACTTTATAACATCAGAATTCCAAACGGGAAAAAAAGAAAGAAAAATGAAGAAAATTGAAACTTTCAAATTTAGCAAGAATTCTGTTGAAATCCAAGTTTTTTTAAAGAAATAATTAATTAGCTAAAAGTAAACATATATTGAACTTGATTTTGTGGATGTGAAATACATACAAAATGTATAATCTGCTAGACACAAAAACTGGAGCACATACAACACTCCATGAATGTATAAAATGCAATGAATTAAATTTGCATTATTTTATGATTTTGTAAAACTGCAAAAAAATGGTGGCAAAGAACAACAACTATAGCACACGTTAGGCGTGTGACAGTATTATGTGAAATATTTTGCTGATAGCAGGCTCCGGAGGGTAAACCGTGAATCATTCCTGGTTGGTCGATTAAGTGTGAAAAAGAAAAGGAACGCAAGTGTTTAAGTGTATCCTTTGGGAGGTTTTAATATTTTTCTACCAGCAAAGACAAACAAGATTGGGACACCAAGAGACAATGACCATGTGTTTCAACTAAGTGCGGCTCATGTGCGACAATACTAGGACGTATTTTGGCAATGAATCTCTCATGTGTTTCACTCCCAAATTTCCTTTTTCATTGAGTAGATCAAGAATATATGTTCTTTGAGACAAAATTTTTTTTCGCATGACTTCTACACCACAAAGTATTTCGAAGACCCCAAATCTATTATCTGGAAATGGGTTTGAAGAGAAGTTTTCAACTCCGAAATTCCCATATTGTCACTAAGAAACATTCTCCAATAATTGTCCAACATAAGAAACATCAATCAGGAACTTAGATATTTTGTTTTGAAATATATTAGCATAGAAAAAAATGACTGCTGATTCCGATTCACTTAAAACATTTCTTTATAAAATAGTACAATCATGACCAACAAGGTTATGTTTGAACTATACAGCCTTAACTGTTTTCTAGAGATATTTTAGTGCTACGTTGGATGTCGATCCTTTGCCTCTACAGATAGATCAGAAATCAAAGTTTCCCAAGCAAAAAAAAAACATAGCATATAAAGGCTAAAATAAAAATGTGATTGACAAAGGTGATGAATTCAAAGCTAAACTTTCAGCTCAAGTTTCAATTTAAGAAAAAAAATAAAAATTCAATTTCGGTTAGAAAGGCAAACCTTTTACAGTGGATGTTCACCCATCTGACAATGACAATATATTCTCCAATAAAAGATGATTTAAATTATTATCAGTTAACAACAATGTACTTATAAATACATTTGCACCAAATATCTGTCTATTTAACTTTCAGTACTGAAAACTGGAACACGAAAAGGGAACCTCAGAGCCAATTAAACTAAAGTTGAGAAAACATTTCTGAAAAACACAACAACTCCAGCAATGTCAAAATGCGCACAACGGCGGTCACACACGCAAACGCGCGGCGCACACACAGACTCATAGAGAGGGATTGCGAATTTGTACAAAACCTTAAAATCTTCAGCAGAGGTGACAGAAGCCTTGTGTTTGACCCATTTCTGGCGGACCTGGGCGATGGTGTCGCCGGCCAAGACGAGAGAAGCAGCGGTAGCGGATTCCTTAAGCGGAAAATTGTAAGGAGAATCGGCACCGGTGGTGGCTTGTCCGGCATTGTCCTTAGAACTATTGGACGGTTTGCTACCCTTGTCACGTCGCCGGTGAATGTTGCGGTGAAATGGGCCCATTCCCCATAGGCCTCCGCTTCCGCTGGCGCCTAACGACCCCATTTCTGTCAACGCCACCACTAATTTGGGGAACAGAGTGCTAATGTTCCTTGTTGGCTTCTTTTCAATGATTAATTTTACCACGTTTTTGGTACTCTGATGTGCCCCACTATGGGACTGCCCAGTCGCTTTACGCCTTATGGTGTGTTAGACATGGCCAAATTCCGGGACTGGCCTTACCCAACCGGTCCCCGAGCTCGAAAACAACAACCTTGAATCGGCTCTAACCTAGGTATCGGCCGGGCACATGACCCGGCGGATCGGGCCGGGGGACCCGATCCCAGATCCACATCCTAAAAAAACTGAAACCGTTGTTTTCTTAGACATGGCCAAATTTCGGGATTGGCTCGGCTCGGCGGGTCTCCTAGCTCGAAAACAACGACCCTGAGCCGGTCCTTACCTAGATATGTGATGACCGGCCGATCGCGTCGGGCTCGACTCGAATCCCAGACCCGTCATAAAAAATGAAACCGTTATTTTGTCTCTGTCCAGTCGAACCCAGCCCGGAACTGGCCCGGCCCGGCCCAACGGATTATATCTTCAAAATGGCCGACCTCTGAATCAGCCCAGTTAAAATCTGGGCTAGGCCTAAACGCGTTGGGTCTGACCGGACCAGGTCCGGATCAGTCGATTGGCCGCCGGTGGCCATGTCTAAATAGGCTAGGTAAACCCAGTGCTCACTAGTAAATTTTTAAATATACTAAGTCTTTTTTTTTGGAAGCAATAAATTTTAGAAATATTCACAAAATAAACAAACTATGTCACAGCCACAACTCACCCCGATATTGACCACTTTTAATTTAGGTCCTATAATTTGTCGATTTCATCATTTCTGGTTTTTTTTT